CTATATGCCAAAATGCGCTCGTATTTTAAGATTTTCATTCTTCATGTACATATTTTCATAAAAATAATAGCAGATTCAAGATCTCCATCAAAAAATAAATCTATGGACATGTCATTTGTATATTTTTGACGAAAAAGAATTTTTCAAAATAATCCTGGGAGGTGCTTCAGACAAAAAATTATCAAAATCAAATAGCTCGATTTATATATCAGTCAACGCAGTTTTTGACGGAGATTACGAATTCGATATTATTTTTGTTGAAAAATGTAATAAAAAAGCAAAAATTGCAAGATATGCCCAGACGGGCTCTTACTGGAGAAAAATTATGGAGAAAAAGAATGAGAAAGAGAACAGAATGAGTAAGAATCAATCTCATTCTTTTTAACTACTAGAGCTTCTCGTTAAATAAATATTCCTAGCCACGTTCTTTTCTGCTGCAATGTTCTCTTTCTACCTAAAACTGAATTATAGGGCAAAACAAACAAAATTTTCTAAATTAATTTAAATTAATCTTTTAAACAGAGTATTAAATTAAACGAAACTGTACGTTCTTACACCTCTTAGCTGTGTACAAAATGTTTTCGTAAGTATTATGCACTCGACACATCTCATCGTAATTAACCTTCGATATAATGTAGTACTAACAAAAAATACAATTCAAAATATTTTGACAAGTCTTGTTTAGCTAAACGGTGAACAATGATGAAATGTAATAAGTTTACAACGGGAATATGTAATAATATTTACTATATTAGTTCTATACTAATTTTGATATTATTTATTTTATTCTATTCCATTCAAATAACATTTTATTCAACTAACATTCAAATCATAACTAAGCAACAGACCAACTTGAAAAAAACTGTTGTAATATCAACAATAAAATTAGCTGATGAAATGTACAACAATATGGCAAAAGCGATTCAATGTAGAAATATTTCATACAAACGTAGTACCAAATATAAGCATGTAATGGAAAGTGATATTTTAACAGTTATTCATCAAGGATGTGATACATTTTCAGACTGAGAAGAGGACTTAGTCATTGACCTGGACAGTTGAGGGCAGGAGTCTAAATATACTATCGCTACTTTAATGAATTATGCCTTAGACACGTGCTCATCTATTGAATTTTCTGTAGAATCAACGATGTTGGTCCAACAATGGCTTCATAAACATCAAAATCCGGATGATTGTTCAAAAGCTCGTATTGCTATTATAAATAATTATGCCTGGTCAGGATTAGGTTCTACAATTCATCAAGTTGTGTGGGCTGTTGCAAAAGCACTGGCTGATGATCGAATATTTGTCTATGCTAATCCAGGAACATGGATATGGGCACAATGCGAAAAGAAAAATCCAGATTGCTTCTTTCTTCCAGTAACCAATTGTAGCTCATTACAAGTTGTGGATAACAATCGAGTAATTATCATTAATGCGAATGGTGGTTATTTTGGAGCGATAAAACGACCTTTTCCATTTTCAAATAGAACTTTTAATTGGTGGCGTACACAGTTAGCCTATTATATGATACGTTTTAATGAACGAGTAACCGAACATATTGAGCAAATAACAAATCAGACATTTCCTCAAGGTTTAGAACATGCAAGACCATTAATAGCGGTTTTTATTCGTCGATCCGATAAAATAGCACAGAAAGAAATGTTAAGAGCTTACAGTTTACGCGAGTATTTTGATCTCTTTGACAGTGATGCTAAACGAGCTTTGGTTCGGAATGTCTATCTTAATTCCGAAGATGAAGGTGTTTTTGATGAATTTAAAAAGAATCTCATATACTCTAGTTACTATCGTTTATTTTACATTAATCAAACACGCGGTTACGTATTTCATCAATTTGGAGGTCAATCTGCCGAACGACTTTCTCAAATTGCTCTTAATTTTCTTACTGATCTTTATATAGAGGCAAATGCCGACATGCATGTTGGGACATTGTCATCAAATTGGTGTCGATTAGTCGATGAGCTAAGATTGAGTGCGGGAAAAAAAATCCCTTATTATACACCTGAAGAAGGACATTATCAAGGTTTTTGATTGAAGCTCTTTATTTATATGTTCTTTAAAGTTGTTATGTTAAATTACTTTTAAAGGTTTAGGGTTCAATTCTCTACAAAATCATAGGTGACTGCGTGTTATTCATAGAAAAGTAAAAAGGTTATTGAAGAAATACTGAAAATATGAAACATGAACTACTTTCTAGCACAACTGTACAACTACAAGTTAATTTATCGACTAAATTAGATTCTCCACTATTAAAATCCAGTATAACCATGTGTTCTGTCAAAGACTAAACAGACTTTAAACGAGCACTGTTATTTGCAAGGCGAGATATAATTCTCATGTATGCTACCTCAAAGTACAGGTTTTATTAATTTGAGCATGGGGGCGGGCTCTTTTAATCGTCGATACTTTTTCAAAACGAGCTCTACACCATGTTTTCTGATCGAGTTATGGTCATTTTTCTGAAAGACCTGAAAAACGTGAGTTTTGCGTTTTAACGGTCGTAACTTAAAACAGCGTTTCGAAAAGTTTTGCAGTACATAATTTATTAAAAAAGAGTCCCAAAATATTTGAATTCCACCATAATATATCGAAACATTGTTTCAAATATTAACAAGAGTTACTAATCACCCGGTAGTTTACGAATAGTA